GATTATAAATATAGTAGCATAGTATAGAACTAATTAGTTAGTCTAATATCTATATAGTGAACTACTTAAAAAAGACAATAACTAAAGTTGTACATATAACTTGTTATATACTCTTCATGTAATTACAAACAGTAGAGATTATTAATATATAATTCTATTTGCAATACCAATAAAATTCTTTTATTAATATAAGCTACTTTTAATAACAAAAAAAATAATTTTAAATAGTATATTAATATTAATTTTTACAACCTATTTTGGATATAATAAAGTTAAATTTTACTAAATAATAAGCTTTTTAAATTAATTAATTAATCTAGTATGAATAATTATATACTATGAATATAGAAAAGACTACAACTTAGTTACTCAACAATACAAAAACTTACATAACCAAGAATAAGTAATCTTTCAAAAGAGGTATATTAGATTAGACTAAGAGATATTAAGGCTTGAGTTACTTGAGTCATAAGGTTGATAACAAATGTCTAGAAGGTTTGTAGTCATATGAGCAAGAATTTAAACAAATAACAAAATATAATTTAGAACTTAAAGAGTATATTAGTGTAGCAGTAATTTGTATAATATTATGAGTAATTTATTTAATAAATTTAGAACTCAATTATTTTAAAAGCAAAGGTGAGATTTAATTTTCTCAGAGCAATTAGGCTTTTTATTTATAATAACTTTTTAATTATAACTTCTTTTTCCAAATAAATTTTACTTTTACATTATTTTTATTTAATTTTCTTTTTTTAATTTATTTATTCAAATCATTAAACTCTCTTTAATATAAAATTTACCTTTCATGATATATTTAAGAAATAATATTAATTCAATTAATTGAATTAATTGAATTAATTGCTAGAATACCTATATTTAGCAACTAATCTGCATATCTGCAGCAAACATAATCAATTTGTAGCTTACTTAGTTTATATTATTTGGACCTCATATTTTACCCATATTTAATAGTAAGTTTTATGGGCTTTTAGAAATTATTTGCTTTATTTTCAAAACTTTGAGTTCTTTAATATCATAGTAAGTTATGGCTATAGTTCTATAAATTTGAATTATTCTAATAGCTGAGAATATATTGAAAACCTTTATGGAAACAGTATAATAGTGGAGGTTACTAGTTCTTGAAGTTATCTTTTTTGTGTTGAGGTAGCACTAGTAAAGATTGATTCTAGATAATAAGTATATACTAAGGTATTAATTCTTTCTCGTAGATAGATCAATTGGGTAAAGAATAAAAAGGTTAAGGTTATACAAGTTGATAGATCATGTGAATTATTAAATAGTGATAGCATCAAAGTTATATAATTAGATATGAGCTAGTTGATATCATTAATGATATGATATATAGTAAGTGCTATATTTAAAAAATTTTTTTTACTCTCTTTTTTATACTTTCTACTCTCTTTTTATCTCTTTTTATTCTTTTTTTCTAGATTATCTCTTCAATTTATCTGTTCCAAAGTTTTTTATATTTTTGGTATCTCTTTTAATTTAATTTAATTTTTTTTTTACTTATTAGGACTGATTATAGTATTCTTTCAGTAGTATAATATTAAATAGTGTCATGAAAACCCTTCTTTCTATAGTTTTTAGTTTGTACATATACTGATTTAGTATTTGATAAATATAGAATAGACTATCTTACTTTGGCTATAACTTCATGCTTTTGTTGTATATTTTTGATGTATAGTATAACAAGACTTTATCTCCTATAGATAAATTAGATAGGAATTTGATTTTTTTGTTATACTGTTCCTTTTGTTTTTGCTAGACATGTTGTATTCTCATCACAGCTTCATAATGGGTTATGAGTAAGTTTTTAATAATTAAAATATTCTTTGTATTATTGTTCTTTCTAGTATTTCTTTTGTTCTTTTCAGATTAATTAGTTAGCAGGCTTCTCTTCTATGCATTAGATAAAACAGGCTATTTTTAGTAGTTGCATGTTTAGAGGTACAGTATACAAATAATATTGCAGAAATTATCAGATTCCAATTCTGAATATTATCTACTGATCTAGCTATAGACTTACACAATATCTTGTTATATCTTTCTACTAACCCATTAGTCTGTAGATAATATAGTGTCAATAGTAGATATTTTATTTTAAACTTTTCTAATAATCTATTGACTAACTGATTCCTAAAGTGAGTACTACAGTAGATAATAACTTTTCAGAGCATCCATGCCTATATATATATCTTCAAAAATAAAGTCTACTACACTTTGAATATTAGCAGATACAATTGCCCTTAGTTTTAGCCACTTTGTCATATACTCAGTAGCTATAACTATATAATGCAAGTTTTAAGGCATAATTAGAAAAAAGCCAATAATGTCTATTTATATTTTATAAAAAAGTGCTATCACCAGAATTGGTCATAAAGATCTATTATACTTATTTTTCCTCTTTTTTAGAAACTTTCATATATTTGAATATATTCTCTAATATATTCAAATATTTGTAGCTAATAATATATTCTACAGATCTTTTTGAACATAATCTTAGCTCTAAAGTACCTTTTAAGTAGGTGATCATATATTAACTAGAGAATAGAGTTAATCTCATACTTCTGCACTACTTTTAAGGGTTGGTCTAGATTTTTCTTATTGCTTTTATATATGAATCTATTCTTTATTATAAAAGATCTTTCGTAGTTAATTAATTATTTTCTTTGTTTCTTATCTAGGCTATTTTCTATATATCCTTCTTATAAGTATCTTTTTATTCAGTTGTAATCTTCTATTTCTATCTTGTATTTCTTTTGTCAAGATACTAACTATCTGAGCTAGATTGAATTTATCATTAGATTTAAGTATTTTCTCCTTATTTTATTTATTTTTATTTTTTATTTTTTATTTATTTTATTTTATTTTATTTTATTTTATTTATATCTATTACTATCAGTCTCTAATCCTGCTTCAAGGCAAATCACTTTCTGATCATTTTTCAGATTAGCAACTCATTCAACTTCAATTACTTATAGATTTAATAGTTTAGTATATCCTAGGTCAATTTTAGTATTGCATAAGTATTCTTTTTTAACTAATTCTTGTTTAGTTCCAAAAGTTATCTAGTCTTTTAATATCAACAAGTGTTTAGAGTCTGAAGCTACTAGATTAAAACTATAGTATTCTATTAAATAAATAGCTTTTCTTCAGTTTAGGATTTCTAGTACAAGATATTCAAAATAGGTCAGATAATAGTATGTTTGGTATGTATTACTATTAGATTTATTTGATTCTACATATTCTAAATTTCCTCTATATGTAGTTCCTAACTTTATATATAGTATTAAAGTTACCTGTTAGGTTCTTGGTTCAAAAATTTCTTCTTTCTGCTTTGAGGATTTGCTAAACTCAGGTAAGTTGATTTGTTCTTTATCTTCTTGGTCTTCACCCTTCTCTTTTTTTAATCATTTATTACTTTCTTCTATGACCATATATATCTCTGCAAAATTATCATCTCTTTTATTTATTTGAGACAATGTATTTGCATTCTAATAAGTACTTCCTGACCTATACTGAATAGTATAGTTGTAGAGTTGTAGCTAAAGTATCTAATAAACTCTTTTTCCTTTTAACTTTATACTATGTAACTATTTAAGTACTAAATAGTCTGTGATAATTATGAATAGCTTGAAGCTAAAGTAATAGTAGTAGTATTCTACTGCTCAAATAACTGCTAAGCACTTTAATTCATATGCTGAATAATTTTTTTTAGCTTTAAATAGACTGCAACTAGCATATGTGATTATATGTTCTTTCTTATTTTCTTCTTTTTGTACTAAAACAGCTTTTAATCTAGTTCTAAAAGCCTTAGTATATAGGTAAAACATATTATTGAAATCAGAATATTTAAGAATAGGCACTGTAGTCAAGTAATTTTTTTAATATTTCAAATACTATTTGCTACTCTAGTCTCTATTCAAAGTTAATATCCTTTTGAAATAATTTATGCAAAGGCTTTGCTATTACAGTAAACCTATTTTTAAACCTTCTATAATATGAAATCAGACTAATAAAACCTCTTAACTAATATAGTGTACTGGGTTTAGAGTAGTTTTTAACTTTTTCTACTTTACTTTCATCAGATTAGATTCCTTGTTTACCTATATATATCTGAAGAAATGAATAGTAGGTTTAAAAAAATCATATTTTTCTATATTAATCATTAACTCTACCTTAGCTAACTTATCAAAAACAATTTTAAGATGCTCTAAATATTCATTGAATGTTTTTGAATATATATAAATATCATCAATATATATAATTATAAACTTTCTAATATACTTCTCTAGGACCTAATCTATTAATCTTTGAAAAGTAGCTAGTAATTCATTAGGTTAAATGATACTATATTGAACTCAAAGAGATCTTATATATAATAAAATCTATTTTTTTTTGTTCTTATCTTTGATTCTAATCTACTAATATTTACTTTTCAGATCTAAAGTAGAGAACCAACTTGTAGTACTAAAGGTTTTTAACAAGTTATTGATCTTTGATAATAGATATGTGTCTTTCCTTATTACCTTATTCAATTTTTTGTAATTCATATACAAATATAACTTTTTACCTTTCTTTAGAACTACTACTATAAACAAAGCCTATGGGCTATTAGACTTTCAAATTAACTCTTTTTCTTCTATTTTTTTTAGCTCTTTTTTGATAAACTTATTTTTACTTAATGATACTCTATAGACTCTTTGTCTTATAGATTTAGCTTTGCTAGTCTCGATTTGATGAATTATTTCTGCTATTTTCTTAAGCCTTTGTATATTATTCATGAAAAGATTTCTTTCTTTTTGAAAGAATGTCTTTGCTTTTTCTTTAATTTTTTTATCTAGAATGTTATTTTAAAGAAACTTTTCTATTTGCTTATTTATAATAAGTTCTGTTTTTTTGATTTCTTATATTTTTTTTGTTAGCAGCTTTTTTATACTTGTTAAATAGATTGCTGAGCTCATTACTTCTTCCTAGGAGTTATAAAATAATTTATTTCTTTCTTCAGTGTTTTCTTCTGTATAATATTCTTCTGCTTTAACTAATTCCTCATCTTCATAGATATATTCACCAAATTCATCTCTGCTATCACTATTCTAGTCTTTTTCTTTAGGGACTTTTAATTTCTTTATTCTATTATAAGAGATGAGTACTTTAATTCTTTTGCTATTATGTTTAAGAAATAGCCTTTGTTCATCAAAATGTATTCACACTTGTGCTTTTTGAAACTAATTATTACTCATAATAGAGTTTTATCTGCAGATTTGATTACTTGAAAGGTACTAGATAAGAGGATATCTTGTATAGCTATTTTTATATTATTGATTTGCCCTAGTGCTCTCATTCTAATATCAGTTGTAGTGATTACTACTATTAAGGATAGCTTATCTATTTTTAACCTTAACTTGTCTATGAGTTTCTTTGTCATTATACTCACTGCTATACCTGAATTTAATACAACTCTAATAAGATTTCCTTTGATTCTTATATAATTATATAGGCTGATTTAAGGAATTGTTGATATCTTTTGATCTACTTGTCTGTTTTGAATGATTTAACTACCAAAATATTTGTTTTAATGATACGATTCTAATGAGTATAAAAACATTAAAATCTAATTACAAGATCCCGAGATCATTTAAGTTTTGTGCGATATTAATCAAAATTTTACTATGTAGACAATCAACTTAGAAATATGTTGTCTATATAAATTTATATAGGCAACCCATTTCTAAGTTAATTATCTTCATAGTAAAATTTTGATTAAAATTGCACAAAACTTAAACAATCTCAGGATTCTGTAATTGGATTTTAATGTTTTTATACTTGTTAGAATCGTCTCATTAAGACGAACATTTTGGTAGTTAAATTATTCAAAATGGACTAGTAGATTAAGAGATATTAGCAATTCCTTGAATCAGCACATATACAATAGGTGACAATAGTTTTTTGAGTATCTTCAAACTTTACTACATAGTTTTCTTAGTTTTCTTTAGAGATTTCTTAGATTTTTTGAGCTACAAAAGACTAGTGCAATATTTGAGCTAAGTTTTTTCTTTGGTTTGAGTATTGTAACATTTGCCCTACTATAGCTATAACTAGTAAGGATAAAATATTGTCTATTATATTATATAATATTAATTTATCTATTACTAATAGTTCATATATTTTCTTAATCTGCTAATTTTTTTTGACTTATCTAGCTCTATAGGTTTTAGTTAGTCTTCTATATCTACCAAAAGTAGTTTATTTTCTACTCAGGATCAAAGTCTATTATTCTACTTTGATTCTAGTTATAATTTAGATCTTTTCTTGAGATTTTTGAGCTGAACTTGTTGTTTTCTTTTATCTGATACGTATAATTCCTCTTCATTTTGTTTTTCATATTCTTAATAATTTACCTTCTAACATTATCCACTTGTTTTTCTCTTTCAATAGATTCTCTGAGTTTTCTTTCTAATATATAGTATCTAGTGATATATTCTTTCTTGTTATACCTAAAACAGATGATTTCTTTTTTTATTTTGAAACCCTCTCAGTACCTTTCTTTTTTACATGTATTTTTTTCTTGATTATTAGTAGTAGTATAGTTTACTGAGAGCTATTGTATTTGCTTTACTAACATCTTGATTATTTCATCTTTTTTGTCAGAAGTTATTGACATTTTATATAGATAAGTGCTATAATATTCATTTGCTTTAACTTTCCTTGCTACTGCAATAGTTTGTTAAAGTTATTTAGGAATATTACTACTACAAAGGTTTCTATTTTTCTTTTTAATCTACTTAAAAATATTCTTACAATATATTGAATAAGTAAGAAGTTATTTGGATCTATACAGCTTAAGAGTTTCTTAAACTTAGTAGTGTAGCTATCTACCTTTTTGTTTTTGAATTAGGTTAGGTTATTCAACTAGATATGCTACTTGTATTGCTTTTCAGAAATAGTAAAGAAAGCAACCAACAAGTAGTAGAAACTTTTATCTTGCTTGTTATTATTTTTCTATTCTTCTATATCTGCTTTACTATCTTTATACTATTCTGCTACTAATCTTTTTAAATAACCAGAAGCTATTTTGAGCTTTCTTTCATCAGACCAGTGATTCACTTCTGCAGCATATTCAAAATTATCAAACTACTCTATAAGGTCTTCATTATTACTTCTACTGAAACTTCTAACCTTCATATAGTTTGTTTTCTTTGACTTAGACTCATTTCTTTTAACAATATTCTTGGCTACATCTTAGAAAGACTTGGTTATATTTTCAATTAACTCTTTAAGCTACATGGTGTTTATTGTTATTAAACTAAATTTTGCAATAATTCCTTCTAGAATATCTTGATATTAGACTATTATTCAGCTTAAGCAGATTTCTTAGTTAATTAGACTTTCTTATACTAATACAATTTTCAAATTAGAGTAGCAAAATTATTGTCTTATTTTTGGATCTTATAGTTACTACTAAAAATATGAATATAGAAAAGACTGTAACTTGGTTGCACAATAATACAAAACTCATATAACTAAGAGTAAGTAACTTTTTGAAAAAGGTATATTAGATTAGGCTGAAAGATGTTAAAGCTTGGGTTACTTGAGTTATTTGTGTTACAAGATTAATGACAAATATCTAGAAGGTTTGTGATTATATGAGCAAGAATTTAAATGAATAACAAAATATAATTTAGAACTTAAGGAGTATATTAGTATAGCAGTAATTTGTGTAATATTATAAGTAATTTATTTAATAAATTTGGAACTCAATTATTTTATAAAGCAAAGGTGAGACTTAATTTTCTCAGAGCAATTAGGCACTTTATTTATAATAACTTTTTAATTATAACTTTTTTTTCTAAATAAATTTTATTTTTACATTATTTTTATTTAATTTTCTTTTTTCAATTTATTTATTCAAATTATTAAACCTTCTTTTGATATAAAATTTATCTTTCATGATATATTTAAGAAATAATATTAATTCAATTAATTTAATTAATTGAATTAATTGCTAGGATGCTTATATTTAGTAACTGATTTGCATATCTACAGCAAATATAATCAATTCATAGCTTATTCAGATTATATTATTTAGAACTCACAATACTATGATATTATACTTAATAATACTCTAACTTACAAAATAATAACTAGATTTTACAAAACAATAGCTATATTAGAAACTAAAAAGATTTTAAAAGAAAATTTAATATCAACTTCAAACTAGTAAAAATAGTAAATTCACTATTCTTAGAAATTAAACAAACTCATCTTTTTTAGTAAGCTTATCTTCTACAAATTTACTAATTCCTCCTAATCCTGTAAAAGATATTTGTATTATAGCCTTATCACTAATACAACTGAAATAACAAAGACTACTACTATACTAGAATAAATTACTAATATACTTTAATCTCTTTCTTTTAAATAATAATCAAACTATTAAATTCTTTCTTATTTATTTAAAATCTCTTAACTTTACTCATAATCAATATTCTCTTTTAATCTTAAATTTGGTAAAGTATATATATATAATTCTGATAATCTCCTTCTTTTTAAAAACTATTTATTTATAGAATCATATCAACTTTTAATATACTATAATCTACTACTCAAATTACAAACTCATCTATTACTACAATATACTAGCCTTATATCTAATCTATTACCTAATTCATTTTCAAATATTCATTCTACTCTTAATCTTAATATAGTATCTATAATATATAAGGATTAACATACTAACTAAAAGGTAGCTTTAAAAAGAATACTGCCTTAAAGAAACTTAATATCACTAATATTACTGAAACAAAACTTAACATTCTATATTATTAAAAAATTTTTAATACTAAACAATTTTCATATTTCTAAGTAAGCTTTAGAAACTCTGCAAAAAGAACTACAATTATAGTTAACAATAACCTTAAACTATATATTTATAATATATTAATATACTCTGAAAGTACTATTGCTATTGACCTCCTCTTCAAACATGACTTCAAATTTAGAATTATTTCTGTATATCTGTTTACATCTAACAAATCCTACAGAGATTCTGTTCAAGAGAAAACTAAGTAGTAGATCTAACAAGCTCTAAATCTAAACTTCTTCCCTATAGTCCTAGAAGACTTTAATACTTCTACAAACTTTACATCTATTACCTTCTCCAAAACTCACCTACTATCTTATTTACACAGCATTAATATGTATAATCTTGCTGACCACACATCTAACCAACAAAATACTTAGCAAAGTAGCAGATACAGCAGTAAAATTGACTATATCTGAGTATATCATCTAACTATACAATTCTTAATAGACTTTTACTATAAAGATTCTCTTGTTATAAATAATAGTGACTACAAAATTTTAGTTTCTAAATAATCCTTTCCTTTTGCTCTTTTTGGCAAACTTAGAAACAAATCGAACACAAAATGTAAAATTTTTAACTATAAAGGAATGACAACTGAACTTTAGCAAGAATTTGCTAATCAAACAGATCTTAATTTAATAGCCAATAACATGCTATCTACTATACTAACAGCAGAATCCTTGGAATCTATCTGGTATAAAATCCAAATTAGCTTTATTCAAGCAGCTCTCTCTATAATTCCAAACAAAAAGTTCACTAATAAAAACTTCTATTATACCTTCTCTTCTAAAGCAACAGAACTACATCTTAACTTAAACTATTAGAAAAAACTATTAAAAAAGCAAAAAAATACTTAAACAATCTAGCTACTCCATATCCTGATCTCTCTACAAAAATCAATTCCATCAATTTCTACTACTCTTTCAATATCTCTTTACTACTATTAAACTTCAACTTAATTTTAAATTGTATCACTCTTTCTAAAAACTCTTAGAAATCTTTCTATAGTACTTGCAACTTAGAAAATACTCATCAAATAAAAGAACATATTAACTAGGCTATAAACAAAAGATGTAATTTTTTACAAACTAAACTTACAAAAATAATTAATAGTATTCTAGATAAATACAGTGAACCTATATACTTTAACAATATCAAAATACAGAATGGAATCACAACTAAACTATCTCAAATTAAAATAGCTATTAAAGAGCACTTTTGCAAATAGACAGCATACTGAAACCTTAACCAAACAATCTTCAACTCTTACTAAAAAGATGAATACAAACCTCTACTAACTATTAAACTAGAATAG